AAGGGGTTGTTAACCATTGTCATAGGGTAATATGTGTACTGTTTAATGAGAAACTATTTGTTCTGCAAACCTTCATCTAAGGTACAAAAAAAAAAAGAATTCTCTGTGTGAGATCAAATTGACAACAGGAACTCAAAAGGTTTTATGGGAAGCCTAGGGGACAGTGAGTTGAAGATAATGGTGATGGAATAATTTGGAAAAGGATAGTGAGGATAGCAGCAGAACTGGAAGAATGTAATTGATGTCACTGAATGGTACATGTAGAAACTTTCAAAATGGTGTAACTTTGGCTATGTATATTTTCACCAAGAAAAGGTCCTCAAGGTTGAGAAGGGAGATTGTTGACATGTCGTGGGGTTGTTAACCAACGTCATAAAACTATATGTGTACTGACTGTTTAATAAGAAACTGTTCTGTAAAACAGTCATCTAAAGTACAATAAAAAAATTTAAAAAAAAACTAATTCAAAATGGATCAAAGACCTAAATATAAAGCAAAAAACTATAAAGTTCATAGAAGAAAAAATAGGATCAACACTAGAGGCCCTAATACGCAGCATTAACAGGATACAATCCATAAGCAACAACACACAAACTCCAGAAGATAAGCTAGATAACTGGGATCTTCCAAAAATTAAACACTTAATGCTCACCAAAAGAGTAAAAAGAGAACCTACAGACTGGGAAAAAATTTTTGGACATTACAAGTCAGACAGAGGTCTAATCTCTAAAATCTACAAGAAAATCTAACACGTCTACAACAAAAAGACAAATAATCCAATTAAAAAACGGGCAAAGGAGATGAACAGACACTTCACCAAAGAAGACATTCAAGCGGCCAACAGACACATGACAAAATGCTCTAGCCGTTAGAGAAATGCACGTCAAAACCACAAGGAGATACCATCTCACCCTGGCATTACTGGCATGAATCAAAAACACTGGAAATAACAAATGTTGGAGAGGCTGTGGGCAGATCGGAAGTCTTATACACTGCTAGTGGGAATGCAACATGATACAACCATTTTGACAAACAATATGGTGCTTCCTTAGAAAGCTAGGAATAGAAATACTGTACGATAAAGCAATCCCACTCCTAGGAATATATCCCAGAGAAATAAGAGCTGTCACACGAATAGACATATGCACACTCATGCTCACTGCAGCATTGTTCACAATAGTAAAAAGATGGAAACAACCCAGATGCCCATCAACAGATGAGTGGATAAACAAAATTATGGTACATATACACAATGGAGTATTATGCAACAATAAAGAACAATGATGAATCTGTGAAGCATCTCCTAACATGGATGAAACTGGAGGACATTATGCTGAGTGAAATAAGTCAATCACAAAAAGACAAATATTGTATGAGACCTCTACTGTAAAAATTCATGAAAAGGTTTACACACAAAAAACAATCTTTGATGGTTACGAGGCATGGGAGGTGTGTGTAGGGGGGAGGTAAATACGAAATAGACAATAGATAAGTGATAACTTTGGTGAACAGTAAGACAGTACACAATACTGGGGAAGCCAGGACAACTTGTACAAGGAAAGGTCGTGGAAGCTCCATAGACACCCAAACTCCCTGAGTGACTGAATTGCTGGGCTGAGGGCTGTGGGGACCATGGTCTTGGGGAATATCTAGCTTAACTGGCATATCACAGTTTATAAAGAAAGTGTTCTACATTCTACCCTGGTGAGTAGCATCTGGGGTCTTAAAAGCCTGTGAGCAGCCATCTAAGATACTCCACTGGTCTTACCCCTTTGGGAGCACGGGAGAATGAAGAAAACAAGACACAACGGAAAGATTAGTCCAAAGGACTAATGGGTCACAACTTTCCAAGGCCTCCACCAGACTGAGTCCAGTACAACTAGATGGTGCCTGGCTACCATCGATTGCTCTGATAGGGATCACAACAGAGGGTCCTGAGAGAGCTGGAGAAAAATGTAGAACAAAATTCTAACTCACAAAAAAAGATCAGACTTACTGGCCTGACAGACTGGAGAAACCCTGAGAGCACGGCCCCCCACCAACGTCAGCTCAGTAACAAAGTTACTCCCGAGGTTCACCCTTCAGCCAAAGACTAGACAGTCCCATAAAACTAAATGAAACTAATGGGGCACAACGGCCCAGGGACAAGGACTAGAAGCCAGGAGGGGACAGGAAAGCTGGTAATAGGGAACCCAAGGTTGAGAAGGGAGAGTGTTGACATGTCGTGGGGTTGTTAACCAATGTCATAAAACAATATGTGTACTGTTTAATGAGAAACTATTTGTTTTGTAAACCTTCATCTAAAGTACAATAAAAACAAAAGAATACTCAGCCAGTAGCAGACATGAGTCTTGATACATGCTACAATATTGCTGGAGCTAGAAGACATTATACTGAGTGAAATAAGCCAATCCCAAAGGGCAAATATTGTATGACCTCACTTATATAAAAATACAAGAAAAGACAAATGTATAGAGAACAAAGTTTATTAGTGGTTACCAGGGGCGAAACGGAGGGGGAAAGCGGGAGGTTAGCTGTGATGGAAGTATCGCATTAAGGGTAGGGTTGTGCAGCTAATTATTGTAATGGCTGTCAATAAACTGTACACCTGTAAAAAGCTGAATTGTCAAAAGTTGTGTGATATATTTACAACGACAAGAAAAAAAGAAAGAGTAGCTGCTGAGGCTGATTATGTGCAACCAAAAACTTCACGGGATTTCGTTTTTTGGCTTAGAGGTTTAGGGTCATGGTTTCATGGGACATCCCAGTTAGCTGGCCTACTAACATGTTTAGTACCTATGTTCTATATCCTAGTTTGATGCCTAGCACCTGGAGTCTTAAAAGCTTGCCAGCGGCCATCTAAGGCACAACAACTGGTGTCTATTCGCCTGGGCAGATGAAGGAGAGTCAGGAACAGGAAGAGAAAATGGAATGTGTGGCTGATTGCCTCGGAACCAGTTCCGCCTCCTTTGCCACGAGAGCAGAAGAGCTGGATGGTGCCCAGCTACCATTACTGAACATATTGATCAAAGATTCTACAGAAAAATCCTGATCAAAAGAGGGTAAATGCAGAATAGAATTTCAAATTCTCATGGACTCCAGACTTCCTGGAACCATGAAGGTTGGATGAACCCCTTGAAACTACTGCCCTGAGAAATTCTTTAAACCGTAAACCAAAAATATCCCCCGAAGTCTTCTTGAAACCAAACAATAGTTTGGCTTAACTAGTAAAAAAAGGTCTGCCTTGAGTATTACGCTCTTTTTAGAACTATCAGTAGGGATCAAATTGACAATTGATAGGAACCTTGAGGAGCAGTAAATTTATGTCAATGGAGGAGGAACAACTCAGAAAAGGAGGATGAGAATGGTTACCTAACTCCAAGAATGTAATCAATGCCACTAAATGGTACATGTACAAACTGTTGGCATATGTTTTGCTGTGTATATTCTCAACAACAACAAAATAAATACAATTGTATTTTTAAAAATCTGGCACGTCATCCCTTAAATGCTTAAAAATTAGTCTTTATTTGTACATTTGGCATCTGACAAAGGTGAACCCACTTTAAACAGGTTTACTTGATAACAAAGTATCTAGAACTTAGCAAGCAATTAGGTAGGTCAGTACTATAGATCAAAACCATTATTTCGGAACCTCTGTGAAATGTGGAAAGTGATCAGCTCTAAAAGGCCAATTGGAGAAAGCAGAGGGATGGGTGCCGCAACAATGTTGAAGTACACGTCAAATACGCAGCTAAACAAACAAACCAAACCCGTTGCCGCAGAGTCGATTCCGACTCAAAGGCGGCTACTGTTTCTCTAACATCTTCACTGGAGCCCGTGGGCTCACAGCTCCGCGCCGCCCGCGGTCCGACGCCCTCTACGGCAGTGGAAGCGCACCTCCCGGGCTTCCGAGACCTGACGCCTGCTCGTGACGCTCCGGCAATACTCTGGCAGTGAGGGTTCGACCCAGCGCGCTGACGCCCGGGAGAGGGCCAATCCCAACAGCCCGGGAAGAGTGAGGAGCCTTCCATCAGCATTCGCTCACTCACCTGCTTCCGGATGTACGGCTGCCTAAGAGCGGTTCCTGCTCAGCCTCAGTTTCCAGGCTCGCCATAGTTACAGCCCCCAACCGGTGGCGTGAGGCCACCTCTCGCGACACCTCCTTCTACACTAGGCAGTCTGAAGCTGTCAAACAAGCCTGGAAGTGCGCGTGCGCGCCCGGACCCAGAAGTGGGCGGAGCGCCCCGAGGTCAGAGGCTGGGTTATGCGGAGACCAAGAGGCACGCGGCAGGGAGGGATCCGGGTCGGGGCAGCTGCTGCCCACTGGGGTTTCGTATCCCAGTCACTCGTCTTTCTCGTTTGGTCTGCGTCTCCCAGCCGTAGGGCTCGGGGCGTGTCCAAACGGCCGCCCCGCCCCGGGCTCGTCCGCCTCTCTTGGCTTAGCTCCTGCTACTTCTCACGTCCGTTCTTGAAGAGGCTGCGGGGGCAGGGAGTGCGGCACGGAGGGAACGCAAGTCCCGAGAGTCCTGGGAGCGGCGGCGCTGGGAGGCTAGGCTGGCTCCGCAGCAGGCGCCCGCCGGGCGGACAGTAAGTAAGTTGCCGACCTAGGCCTCGCTTCCCGCGCTTCTTCGCTCGCCTAGTACGTGACGGGTGGCAGGGACTCTAGGGGGATCGGGACGAGGCCGGGGACGCTGGGGTCCCAGAGCGCGGGGCGAGGCTGGAGGCGAAGTCCGGTTCCGGGGCGCGTTCGGGCGGGTCAAGTTGAGGTGGGCGTGCGGGCGATGGCTTCCCCCTATGGAAGGTGGAGGTGACCGCGCGCCCTCGCCCTCTTGCTCGGCTAACTACAAAGGCACCTTACCCGTGGCACCTTGTCAGCGTGTAGGTGGGGTTCGGCCTCTCTAACTTGCAGGACCCGCATTCAGCATCCCGCTGCGCCGGCTGCGGTCTCAGCCTTGCAAGATGCTTCTCAGAAGAGCCTGAGGTAGAAAACCGGGAGGTAGAAAAGCCACAGCACGTGCTTAGCAGTTACCAGATCTTTTCATTAAGGAAGATGACATTTTTAGAAAATACGAGTTTTTCTCAAATTTCGATGCTGTTCCTTTCCTGATGCTTCATTATTAATTTCTTACTTCTGCAACGAGTAAGCTTTAACTGTTGGTGACAGTAGTCATTATGTCGCATAATTACTGTTTTATTAGCACTAGATACATTCTCATGTGATTTCATTCGGTCATAACTGTCCTATGAGAAAAGTAAAGCAGACACATTTCTGTTTTACAGAGAACTAAGGTCCAGAGAAGTCGATAACTTATCCACAGTCACTCGGTGTGGAAGTGACAAAGCTGGGATTCAAACTCACTTCTTTTCAATAAATATTTATCAGCACTTACTCTGGGCCAGGTCCTGTACTAGGTATACGTTGTGTGTGGCATAGTATGCCATCACCTCTGATCTTTGTCTCCTTTGTAATCTTGTGTCTGTCAGGCACGTTTCACTGGTGAACAGCTAAACTTGAACTGTTTTCTGTTAGCTGAGAATTATCTTCTGATACAGACCTGACATTTGGATTCAGGTCTTGCAAATTCATCTGTAACAACTCACAAAAACACATCAGATTTCCTATAATTGATTTCAAGGTGGTACATGGGTAGAAAACTTGGTATTTTCTTGCCATAACTTTGCACAAAGCTTTGCTGTGTCGTGGTAGTCTTCTCTTTTAATCCCTGGAGTCTAGCACAGTGTGTAAAACATAGTGGGCAAAAGAACATTTAACCAATACAGCATCTAGGAGAGTGGTGTGCTCTTTGGGAAGTAGGTTGCCAGGCCTTTCTTCCAAGGTGTCTCTGAGTGGATTTGAACCACCAGCCTTTCAGTTAGTAACTGAGCACTTAACCATTTGTGCCACTCAGAGACTCCTCATATAGTTGGTATCTGTCTCAAAAGCATAAATGAAAAAAAAAAAAAAGCTACTATGTACAAGAACTTCACCCTACAAAAAAGGAGACCTAATTTTTTATCTTATAACCACTTCTAAATCACTTCTTTCAAAGAATCGTTCAAAGAGCAATGTATATATTTATATATGTTGAATGAATGCTTATCGAATTACCTCATTTCATCCCTACAACAATCCTGTGGGGTGGGAATTGTCTCAAGTTTACAGGTAAATTGAGTGCAGAGACATTAAATAACTTGTCTAGGGTCACCCAGCTAACAAGCAACAGAGCTAGAATCCAAGAAACACAGGTCTCCTGACTACCACCAGGCTTCCTGTGAGAAGAACAACAAAAGAATCTTTTCCCATATATCTTAAAAAAATATCAAAACAAGTATTTCCATTGTTATGTAAATGAAATAATTTGCTACTATGTATTAGACTAGGTCTTATTTCCCTTTTATAGGTTAAGGCTTCCTCATGGTCACAGAGCTAGTGGAGGAACCCAGGTCTTCTGACGCTGCTATTTTCCACTGCTGCCTTCAGGTGATGACTTTAGACTACAGATAAGCTCTGTGTATTATAACAATAGAAAAAAGAAAAAAAATTTTCTTAGGAACACACATGCATAGGATCCAAAGTCAACATTAAAAAATTAACTTGTTTTAAAGCCCATGGAAAAGAGGAGCTAAGTTGGAAAAGAGAGTCTTTGCTGAATGTTTCACACAAGGATGTGAGACAACCCGCCTGATGGATTTCCTTAGATGACTGCTCAGAATAGATATCCACCCCACAAAACAAATGAACACATACCTATTTTCCTGCTTTTCTCCGGTATAAGGTAAAAGGAATTAAATTCGTTAAACTAGGACAGTATATTTCAACAGTGAATATCTAAACCCTTTTTCAGCTACTTAAACTTGTATTGAAAAGAAGCGATTTAAAAGTAGTTATAAGATAAAAAAATTAGGTCTGCTTTTTTGTAGGGTGAAGTTCTTGTGCATAGTAGCTTTTTTTTTTTTTCATTTATGCCTTTGAGATAGATACCAACTATATGAGTAGTCTCTGAGTGGCACAAATGGTTAAGTGCTCGGTTACTGACTGAAAGGTTGGCAGTTCAAATCCACTCAAAGACACCTTGGAAGAAAGGCCCGGCAACCTACTTCCCAAAGAGCACAGCCATTGAGAACCCTATGGAGCACAGTTCTACTCTGAAACACACAGGGGTTGCCATAAGTTGGAATTGATGGCAACTGTTTTTTTTTTTTGTTGTTGTTTTTGGTTTTGTTTTTAATATGAGGATACGGGTCCAGAAAAAAAATTAGGGTTGAATTGCTTAAATTCTTAGGTACCAGAGTGATAGGAAATAGAAGTGCTAGATGGTGTAATAGATTTTGAGCGCCACTTTAGCAACAGAGCTCATTTCTAGAAATGACTTGGCACCATACTAGACCTATTTTTGTTTCACTTTGTTTTTCCCTTTCACTTTGGTTATATAAAAGCATAGGTGACAGTCATGTCAGTTTGGCTTGATCCATACTTCAAAAGTGGTTCCTGTTTCTGCAGAAGCTCATTGGTGTCAGTCCAGACTGATGTGGGGGCTTTATGTATCTGGCATGGCTCCAGGTTATGCCTCTTTTTTTTGGAAACTTGAGTTGTTTCTGACAACTTTGTCTTTACCGCTGGCTTGGATTATTTTCTGTCTTTGGTGGCAGTGGACACCCTGAACCCAGCCAGTCCTGCGTAGAAGGACCTACATGTTTAGAAGGTCCCAGAAACACCTGGACTTTTATATTGTTCTTAGGCTGAAATGGGATTTAAGAAGAACTGTAGGGTTGTCCGTGAGTCGGAATCGACTTGAGGAAAGTGAGTTCGGTTTTTTTTTGGATAGCGTTGTGATGGCAACGGGATGTAACCCCAAACCTGCAGAGTTCACCAGAACCAAATTTATATTGAGCTATGTGTGTCTTTGATTTGCCTTCTGTTCCTCATTGGTCAGTGGTTTACTGGCAGGTAAATATGGCAAGGAGTATGCAAGCTCTAGATTTGGAGAACTGATACTTCTGGCCTGTAATATATGGAATTCAAGTTATTTGTGAAGCTTTTCCAGTGTAGAGTTGAAAATTAGGAATGAGTAAGAAATTTAGGCGCATAATACATATATAACACTTTACAAAATATTTGAAAAATTCATTGTTTTCATATCCTTTCTGCCTCCATTGCAACCTTCTACTTCTGAATGTTTTGTCTTCCTTTATTCTTTATCTACTACTGTCCAAGAAGAATATTACAGTTTAGAAAAATGGAATGTCTCATGAACAGGTTAGTACTTTTCTTCTTACAGTAAAATATGAGTGTTCGAATTTTTTTTTTTAACTAACATGAAATCTGCCTATTGTTGATGCCATGGATATTGAAGTGATCTGCTCCTTTTCCTGTCGTTATTTAATAAATATACACCAAAAAAATGTATCAATGCCATATATTTTAACAGTTCCAGGAAGGCTTATGAAGCAGAATTATTAAAACCATGATTCATCACTCAGAATGCTCTCTGCTTAAGCTATAGAACCCCCCAGAATAGGCTTGCATATCTAAATATATCCAAAGAGTTGGCTTCATATTTGGAATGTGTAACAATAATTTAGAATTAAGGAAACACTAGTCAAGAAATTTTAACATATATATATACTTTGTGCCTGGCTCCTTTAATGTTCTACGTACACTTGATTTTAATAATTGCACTAATGTAGATAAAATATAAGGAGCCCTGGTGGCACAGTGGTTGAGTGCTCGGCTGCTAACCAAACTGTCCATGGTTCGAACCCACCAGCCTCTCTGCAGAGGGAAGATGTGGCAGTCTGCTTCCGTAAAGATTACAGCTTCGTAATCTCTGTCCATATTATTTCTGTCCTATAGGGTTGCTATGAGTCAGAATCATAGCAGCAACTGGTAGATAATGTGTATAATGAAGACAGTATTTCAGAAACCAGTTTGCCTTTTACTATTTGTTCACTGATTAAAGAACAAAATACTAAGAGGCATGGGCTTTAAGTGAATGGAAATATATAAACCTTATTTAGACAAACTTTTAAGAGCGTGTTTATATATAAACAAATGTTTATTCAGGTCTAAGGAAAGACTGCCGTATCTTTCTCCCGTGGAGAGGCTAGTGGGTTCAAACTGCTGACCTTTCAGTTCACAGCTGAACACTTAACCACTGCGCCACCAGGGCTCCTCATTCACTTATAAACAAATGTTTATTTTAGGCCTAAGGATCCCACCTCCACCCCACCCCCCACTGGGGAGGGATAAATGGTAAGAAGGTAATTGCCACCTGGTATTGAAAATCCTGAGGGTGTCAGCCCAGACATTCTGCTCAAAGAATAAGAAACACAATTGATTTCTTCCAATATGGCGAACAGTCTTTAAAGTGGCCCCCATAATCCCTGCCTTGTTCACACTTTTCTGTAACCCTCTCCTCTTGAGTGTGAGCAGCCCTGTGACTTGTCTTCTAATAGAATATGGTTGTCACTCCCATGGTTATATTAAGTTATATAAGACTGCTTCTTGCTAGCACACTCACTTTCATTCTCCTGCTGGCCTTCAAGAAGTAAGCCATAAACTGCCTATGAAGAGAGCCATGTGGAACAGAACTGTGGGCAGCTTTGAGGAGCTGAGGCTGGCCTCTGGCTGACAGACAACAAGGAAATGAATTCTGCCAATAACCTGAGTGAGTTTGGAAGTGGGTTCTACATTTAAGCTCCTAGATGAGAATGAAGCCCAGGTGACACCATGATTGTACCCAGGTGAGACCCTGGAGCAGAAAACTTAGGCAGTGCCCAGACTCCTGACCTCCAGAAATTGTAAGATAATAAATGTGTGTTTTTTTAAGCCAACAAGTTTCTGGTAATTTGTTACACGGCAATAGATAACTAATATACCCAGCTTTATTCTTCTTCAGGGATTCTTGATAAACTACTCTTAATGTTAAGAAAAAAAAGTGGGATGGAGAAAAACAAACTAGGTTCAAGAGATTTGTTCTTCATATTTAAGAGATTTGTTCTTCAAATTCTTATATTTAAAGGCTTTGGATAAGCCTTCATATATTTAAGTTATGCAATGGCCTTTTTTGAGGAGAATAATACTAGCTTTGAGTTTTGGTCTAAGGTCAATAGAATAATGAACAACAGGTAGTCCCCGACTTATGATGTATTTTTGATGAACCGCACTTATGACTATCCTTTTTATTTTATTTTTTTGTGATTTGTGTATTTTTTTATGTATGTATGTATTAAAATAGGAGCCCTAGTGATGCAGTGGTAGAAGTGCTCGGTTGTTAACCATAAGGTTGGTAGTTCAAACCCACCTGCCACTCCACGGGAGAAAGATGTGGTAGTCTGCTTCTGTAAAGATTTACAGCCTTGGAAACCCCATGGGGCAGTTCTCTGTCCTATAGGGTCGCTATGAGTTGGAATAGACTCCACAGCAGTGGGATTGGTTTTTGGTTTTATGTATTAAAATATATCTGTAAGTTTATATGTAATGTTTCCAACCCCCAAAGACAAAGATTGGATTTATAAAGACACTGATAATAAAGGCAATAATAATGAAAACGGAAAAAAAAAGCAGATATTTAACTTATTTCAGAACCCACTTATGATGGAATCATTGGAACAGAACCCCATCGTAAGTCATTCGATTGTAAGTTGGGGATTACCTGCACTTCTGCTTACTGAGAAAGTTTCAAGAAAAAAGAAAACATTAGTTTTTTTTTTTCTCTAAAAATTTTATGAAGACTATCAAATTAACCCTAAATTTTAAATTTTAAGAAGAGAAACGAAAGCATGGCTAATTAAATAGTGTTTATTTTAGATACAATACTAATTTTAGATCTATCCTATGTCATATTGAAGTCTCTTAAAATCAATATCCATATTATATTTATGCCCATTTTGAAGGATGTGGGAGCCTCGGTGGTGCAATGGTTAAGCACTCGGCTGCTAACTGAAGGGTCAGCGGTTTGAACCCACCAGCCACCCCATGGGAGAAAGATGTGGCAGTCTGCTTCCATAAAGATTACAGCCTTGGAAACCCTATGGGGCAGTTCTACTCTGTCCTATAGGGTCACTATGATTCATAACCAACTCGACAGCAAAGGTTTGGTTTTTTTATGCAGGATGTGGATAACTTAAAATTTTAATAAATATAGTGTTTTATAGTTGTATCTTTGCACTTGTGACATTATTGTGACATTTGTGACATACCTATGATTAATTTGATTTTCTACCTCAGTGGTTGGCAAACTGCAGCCATGGACCAAACTGCGTATTTTTATATGGCCTGTAAGCTAAGAAGAGTTTTTACATTTGCGCTTTATTTGATAATAGGGGACATTAACTTTTAACCCCAAACAAGAAAAAGAATTCCATTCTTCTCATTAGTAGACCTGTATTACCAAAAAATTATACTCAATTGTTATATTTTGAATTTCCTCAATAAAATTTTTCTTGAAATTAGTTTTCTCTCTTGTTATCTACGTACCTGTGTAATATCCTCTATTTTGCCTCCTTGCACTTGAAGCCTGTAATATTTACTATCTGACCCTATACAAAAAAAATTTACAGGATCCCTCCACTAGTCTATCTATAACATTGTTCTTTTGAGACACTAGGAACATTACAACAGAAACTAAAATTTTATGCTCATGTCATCTACTTAATATTTTCCTATGAGGCAGTTCTACTAAGTATTATTTTGTGTCGTTCCTGCCAGTAATTGGATATGTTCAGTACAAATTGTTCAAATTTTTTTTTTTTTTTAACTTTCAGATTAATATTCTTTCCCAACTAGGATATCTTTACAAAACATTATTCAAATATAACCAGAAACTGTCTTAAAGGCAGAATTACGGATTGAGAAGCCTAATCCTGTAATGGTGGTAATGTGTGAAACTTTTTTACTTAATAACTTGTGATCTTAAAAACTCTCAACAAAATAGGAATAGGAATAGGAATAGAAGGGAAATTCCTCAGTATAATTAAGGGCATTTATACAAAGCCAACAGCCAACATCATCCTAAATGGAGAGACTTTGAAAGCATTCCCCTTGAGAACAGAAACCAGACAAGGCTGCCCTTTATCACCACTCTTCTTCAACATTGTGCTGGAGGTTCTAGCCAGAGCAGTTAGGCAAGAAAAAGAAACAAAGGGCATCCAAATTGGGAAGAAGTCAAAGTATCTCTATTTGCAGATGATATGATGTTATACATAGAAAACCCCAGAGAATCCACAAGAAAACTACTGGAAATAATTGAAGATTTCAACAAAGTTTCAGGATACAAGATAAACATACAAAAATCAATTGGATTCCCTTACACCAACAAAGAGAACCTCGAAGAGGAAATCACCAAATCAATACCATTTACAATAGCTCTCAAGAAGATAAAATACTTAGGAATAAATCTAACCAGAGACGTAAAAGATCTATACAATGAAAACTACAAGACACTACTGCAAGAAGCCAAAAGAAACCTGCATAAGTGGAAAAACATACCTTGCTCATGGATAGGTAGACTCAACATTGTGAAAATGTCAGTTCTACCCAAAGTAATTTACAGATACAATGCAATCCCAATCCAAATTCCACCAGCATTTTTTAATGAGATGGAGAAACAAATCACCAGTTTCATATGGAAAAGGAAGAGGCCCCGAATAAAGCATTACTCAAGAAGAAGAACAAAGTGGGAGGCCTCACACTACCTGATTTTAGAACCTATTATACCACCCCCGTAGTCAAAACAGCCTGGTACTGGTACAACCACAGATACATAGGCCACTGGAACAGAATTGAGAATCCAGACATAAATTCATCCACTTATGAGCAGCTGATGTTTGACAAAGGCCCAAAGTCTGTTAATTGGGGAAAAGACAGTCTCTTTAACAAATGGTGCTGGCATAACTGGATATCTATCGGCAAAAAACTGAAACGACCCATTCCTCACACCATGCACAAAAACTAACTCAGAATGGATCAACGATCTAAATATAAAATCGAAAACAATAAAGATCATGGAAGAAAAAATAGGGACAATGCTGGGAGCCCTAATACATGGCATAAACACATTACGAACCTTAAGTGACAATGCACAAGCACGAGAAGAGACCAGATAAATGGGAGCTCCTAAAAGTCAAACACTTATGCTCATCAAAAGACTTCACCAAAAGAGTCAAAAGACAACCTACAGGCTGGGAAAAAAATTTTGGCTACAACAAATCCGATCAGCATCTAATCTCTAAAATCTACAAGATACTGCAAAACCT